GCCGTGGCCAATCTGGGGGTGTGGCCGAGACATCTTGGCCAATCTGGGGTGTGGCCGAGACATCTCGGCCGTGGCCCAACCATGGGTTTTTTTTGTTTTTTTTTCGGTTCCAGCCGCGGCGCAGCGCGGCGACCATACGACGGGAAAAAAAAAACGAAAAAAAAACGAAAAAAAAAGTGATGTTCTTTTTGCCCATTTGAACTTGGACTACGAGGATGTTGCCATTAAGTGTTTTTCTTGCCTATCTGAACTATGACGACGTTCATGTTGCCATGACGTGTTTTACCTGCCTATTTTGAACTAAAAGTGTGACTCCGGAGCAGGTTCCTCAGAAATAAAAAATGTAAGCACTCTAGCATTGCCTTCACAGCTGTCCAGTCGACACTGCCACCATCCGTAGCATGTCCATAAGCAAGACCCCTTAGCCCCCGCCTCCATTCTGTTGCTGGCCCTCATCGTCCTCTTCCGGGGGCCCTGCTCCTAACCAATCCAACCATTTCGCATCATCGAGCGATGACGTCGTAGCCAACTTTTGCACAGCATGATGCCCAATCATGGATGTAGCGAAGGAAAACCCCCAAAGTAATTGTGAACTTGCGGAGCCTCTCCGTCACGACGTCCGCGGTTTGTGTGATGTGTCAACGCAATGCGTGGAGGCCCATATAGTTGGCTTCATCGCGGTTTGGACGAAAAAGGACACCTCGTAGTGTAAGCAGAAATCATATCCCAACACGCGCATCAACCACATAGTGGCCTCCACAAAAACCTTTATACGCTCGGCCACATTCATCAACCTGCTGTGTGCCGCCTGTTTGTGCGCGAGTCTCCGACTGACTGTTTGTATGCAAGTTTCCAACTCTGGCCGCAGAAACCGCTGCTACTGCATGTAATTCCCTTGGTGTACGCTGCTGTACCTTTTGCTGCTGCTGCTGCTTCTGCTGCTCTGGATGGACTGTCTGCCTCTGTGGATGCATAAAACCGTCGTCTTCTTGTGGTCGCTGTGACTGTGGCCTTATTCCCCGCTATCATCATATAATAATATTATGTGTCTAGTTCCTTGTTGGCGGCCAGTTCCAGCCATGTGTTCCTGGCGCACTCTCAAAAACTGTTCTCCTCCAGATCGAGGTCCTCATGCTGCTGTTGTTTACCTGATCCCTGTGGTGGGCCCTCATCCTTGCACAGGGTCCATGCTAATCTTCTCTGTGTGGTTCCAATTTTGACGCATGTCCCGGAGGACCTCAGAACACTTTTCCAACTACTAGATACAAGGTGTCGAAAATAGCACAGGCCGATAGAGATCGTCCGAGACGAAGTAAAACATTTCTGAATTGCCTGGTGCCGGCAAGCATAGCTTTCTACCCCTCTTCCGTGAAGCGATGTGAGGTAGGGGTAGTGAAAGAAAGATATGTTCCATGACAAAAATATGTCAGGTGAGAGAAAAGCAAATGACAAAAATATGTGAGGTGAGAGATGGCAACGTTTTTGTCAGACTCGCTTTTGCACTTTTTTGGCTGACAAGCGACTCTCGAGTGTACCTGTTTGAGATATCTTCCAGTCTAAATGCAGCTCATTTTGCCAGACTTGCTTTATTGCTGTATCTGGGGACGACGGTGGATTGCAAGTATCATCTACTACGAGTCTTCTGAGGGCGCACTTTATGGCTTGACCTGTATGCATTTGGCCGCATCTCCCTCCAGAAACAAGTCAAAAGTCCCAGTGTGAGTACGCCTGCGAGCAGTGTGAACTGCCTCGCTGATGAGTGGGACGATCACATCTACCTGACACCCATTTATGGCTGGATCTGCATGCATCCGGCTGCAATTCCGTCCAAATACAAGTAAAAAGTCCCAGTGTGGATATGCCCTGAGAGCACTGTGAAGTGCCTCGCTAATGAGTGGGACGTTCACATTTACCTGACCCCATTAAATTTTATGACTGTACCTGCATGCCTCTGGCTGATATTCCGTCCAGATACAAGACAAATGTCCCGGTGCTTCACAATGTCGGAGAGATGGAAACAGCGTACAAAGGAGAAGAAAAAAGTCGAGAACTTTATTTTATTTTTTTACAAAACAGGCGCACCAGACTTGAGATATAATCGGTAGGGCAAAGGGGCAAACATGCCGTCACCTCACTAGGGGCAAACATGCCGTCACCTCACTCCGCCGAGAGAGGTAAACTCCCTCCAGTATAGCCTTACAGTGGTAGGTAGATAGCAAAAGAAAGATAATATCTCTTTAACTTTCTTGCCGTCTGATCGCCTTCACGAACAATGTTGCTCGTCTCACTCACACTGTTTTTGTGTGTGGGTGTGCGCTTTCGAAAATGACTTCGCGCATATTCACGTGCCCGCCTGCATATTTAAGGCCCCCACCTCTTTTCTTCTGTTCCTCCCTTTCCTGCGCCAACTCCTCCCCCCTACGCCGTCATATTACCCTGCCGCCTTCTGTTGGACGCCACTAGCTCTCTCTCTCTCTCTCTCTCTCTCTCTCTCTCTCTCTCTCTCT